GCTGAGTTTACAAACCAAAATAGAAAATGACCACTGTCACATTTCAGCTTTAAAAATGATTGATTCTTTTCCCTCCATCACTTCTGTGGCTGGAGAATGTTTGTGAGCGTAAGGGAACTTAAGCAATGACTCTGGACATTGAGCCCTCAGAGTTAACAAGTTCAAGGGCATACATTTTACACACCAATTAGCTTCATGTTGCTGAACTTAATTTTTAAGGTAATGAATAAGCACCTCTGAATAGAACTATTTAAGGTATGTCATAAATCACACACATACAAAACAGGACAAAGTGAAAGAATGTGAAAGGTTGGTAGATCCAATGTCATAATTAAGAGCAAGGATAGAGAAAGCTGGTCTACAAACAAAGGGCGATTATCATTTTTATTTTGAAAAGTAACATGATCATTGAGGTTATTTGGGGAAGAGGAGATGTTCATTCATGGTGCTCTTTGTTTCTAATCTATCACATTACATTAATGTTAACTTTCCTCACTTTTTATGCAAGAATTTTTGTTCATTATTTTATTGCTCCACTTTGCATAACTTACTACAGTAGAGATTAGTTGAAGCTAATTGCTCTAATATTAGAAATACAGGGGTTGTTAACATCCTTCTGTTTTATAATTCCTTGGTATAGGCCAATACTGAAACTATTTATAATTTACTTGCTCCTATTTCTCTCACCATATATAATCGTTGCCCAGCTGAATTACGTTTTAAATCATGCTTTCTATTTATTTTTAGTGATTTTACTCAGAAGTTGAAGCGTTAGCCTTCCCTCAGAGTTTCACTCTGAGATGTGACTACACTTTCTGACTGGTCTTTAGGGAAGAGAGTGGAACAAGCAATGGAGAAAATGCCCTCGGTTCTCTCATGTTACCCCATTGCAGAAATCACTTCTGAGGGACTGCGGAAATTTTAAGCTAAAAAAAATGTAATGTCAATAAATATTACCAACACAGGCCTGGCTATAATAGCACAATGAGATGGAGAATATAATTTAAATAAAAATTAACATATATTCAAATATCCACAGTGTTTTATATGTACATAAAAATGTTAACCACAGTATCTAAAGCAAACATTTCAACATTATCAAAAGTTCTACTATTTCCTATTTTTTACTTGATATTTGAAATATTTTACAATTGTTTTTCAGTTTTCTGATAAATTTGTTTACAAATCAGAAGGTGCATTTTTGGTATAAGCTACTAAATGTGAGGATGATAAAAAATGTATTTGAGACTAACACTATCCGAGTCTTTCAATTTTGTCTTCCATGTATAAAGATTGTGTTTCCCTGTAATTTAAAACATTATTACTATTATTATTATTAATTATTATCCTCATCATTGGTGTCTTGGATTTAAAACCATTTTTAGGAGAAAAAAGTTATGCTGAAAACTACAGACTTAACTCTTCGCAATTACTTGTACTCACTCATTTATCCCAGTATCCAAATACAAATGACAGTTGTTATGCACACTTGAAAATACTGATGAGATGTAATTATTTTTAAGATGGACAGGGTGTACTAAAAATTAAACTTTTGAACTTGTAAGGAAGGGAAAAGAAATTACCCTTTAAAATTATAACCAAAAACTAATTCTATTGGCATAAAGCAGACTCCCAGTCACACAATGAGTCCCTGGGTCTGAGAGCTGACTTAAGGCTCATCTATTTGAAGGTATTAATATGTGGGGAAACAGTTTCCATGATAAGTCCCTTCTATTTCTGACATGTATTGGCACAGAACATATAAACAAAGATGCCCTGATTTCCTGGTGAGAGTGTGATTAGGGGATGGGTGAGATCTCACTGAAGGAGAGAAAGGAGGTGAAGGCCAGACATGTTTTCTGGGCTGTGAAGCAGGTATTTGCAGCCTGACTACGGTGTGATTTGTAGTATATAGTCTAGACTGTGGATCCAGGGACAGTTTTAATCATTCTACAAAATAAGATAAAGGAAGAAACGAGGAAAAGCTAACTTTAGGTGAAATGAAAAACAAAGAAATGATGGAAGGAACCCAGAGCCCTAGGAAGCAGTGTCTTGTCCCCGGACATGAGCTGGGTACATTGTGAACAATAACAGCAATAGCCATGTCATCAGCAAGCTGTGTGCATTGACATTTAAAATGTCCTGAGTCTATCTGTCCATCTCCACTTTAGCCTACACACCATTATCCCTCACAAGGACTACTTCCATAGTCTGCTCTAACCTCCTCCCTCCCTTCATATTCCTTACATCAGCAAGAGAGAGTGTGGAAAATGTAAATCAGATCATGCCATGCCTCTGATCCCTCAAAATAAAATCCAAATTTCTCAACAATGCCCTACAGCTCTCAACACTGCCTCCACCTCATTCGGGACCACTCTTTTCCTCCTGTTGTTTCTCTCCTTGCTACTCTACTACCTAAAGTTCACTGCCATCACTGTGAGCATTTTCCCTTCCAGGAATTCTCTTCTGTTAGATACCCACAGGGCTCATTTTTTTTGCTTCCCTTCAAATGTAAGGTCCTCAGAGAGAATTCCCCTGACCACCTCACTCGAAATAGAACCCGCCAACCCAAATCATTGCCTGACTCCTCATTCTGCTTTTTATTGTATTTGTCATATGTAATTACACACACACACACACACACACGTATATATTGTTTTATTTTGTCTTATATTTTACTCTTTCATTGGCTGTCTCTTGTGTCCTGCACTGAAATACACACTCAGGAGGCAGGGAACTACTTTTTGGTCTTAGTAAGTGTGTCATTAAATTAGCTATAATTATTAATGATTTTTATTAGTTTTTCACCTACTTTGCACTAATTTGGTATAAACTTTTAAAGTATAATTTAACTTCCACTGATTCTTCCTGCAGAGAAAAAGTATTTTCATCTACAAAAATATTTTAAAATTCTGATTTGATGAATAGTAATTTTATAAATTAATATTTTGCCTTATAAGTATTGTTTTATTTACTTGGCTGAGACCCTTATCTAAGAAAGTGGTCCACTCCTGTGGTGGAGGAAGATGTAAACAAGACCTGTATGTGGCCTCTAGACCAGCGGTCACCTACTGGTGGTCCGTGGACCACTGGTGGTCCGTGAGGTCTGAAAGATTGGCAACTGCTGCTCTAGACAGCCAATGGTCTTGTATCTGCCTACGGCTGCAAGTGTTTTTCAAAAAATAATCCTTTTTAAAATAACTTCACATTAACCATTTTAGTTTACTCAATTACTTGTGATTAAGGAGAAGGGTTTGTATAAATAGATTTTTATTAATAGTAGATGTAACATTTTTTATGAGATTTCTCTTTCTTCCCTTTCTTTTTTATTTTCAATGACTTTGACTTAAACATAACAAACATGTCAGTTTTTAAAACTTTTAAGTAACACAGTCATCCTGAGGCTTATCATATTTGGGAATTCAAAAGCCTACCAATTGCTTCCATAAAGATGAAAGCTCTTAGATCCTTATTAAAATTATAACACATGATTGATAGTAAAAGACTCAAGTCTGCTCTAATCCAGTTTTCTGATACCACAATAGTACTTCTATCCATTACACCTACCTGAAATCAAGCTAAGGCCAGGATTCCTATCAGATACAATATAGAGTGATTCCATTTCTCTGAAGTTAAAATTCATACCAAGGATAAAAGTTCATGCACTGGCAAACTGCAGCAGATTTCTCTGAAAGATCTGAGGACTGTTTTAGCCTTTTCAATTTTCAAGAATAGGAAGGCTATTTCCTAGATCCTGACAGATTTTAAATTGCCATACTTTTACCTGTGGCCATCTCTCATTTTTTGTAATTCAAGAAATATCTATGTCAACTTCCTGACCGGGCTTCTAGCATGTTATTAAAAGAAAACATATGTCCTTCTTCTCATGTATTCTTTATTATTTCCATACTCTTAAATAAATCAATCAAGTGACCACAAGATCATGATTAGATTGTCCATTACAGTGTCTTACTCATTAAATATTTATTGAGTGAAAGAAAGAATAAATGATAGAAACAATGAGTACATAAATGTACTAGAAATCTCAAATAGATCTTACTCAAAAAAAAAAAAAAGAAATAAACTTCACCCTCCTCAGTGAAAGAAAGTTAGTAAAACAAGATTGTTAAGCAATAGATGATGTCATGGGGACCTCATGAATTATGTTCTAAAACAAAACTCTTAAAAATGCTTGAAATATGATTTCTGATGCTTTATAATTTGTCCTTATTTACAGTGTTACTGTGTCCTCACATATATTAAAAATAGAAAAAGTGATCAAATAAGAGAGAACCCCATAAACTTTATAGTAAGTCCTGTAAAGTAATTGGCAAAGATGCAAAATAAAACCAACATAATCAGAAGGGTTCCACTAGCAGGTCTATAAGCATCCAACAAATGTATTTAGGAAATAGAGGGACATTTGAATATAAATATGAAGTAAGTAATAAGAAAATATCCAAAATATGGACAAAATGAGAGATACCATTAGATTAAGTGGGGAAACCGGTCAAGTATGGATTTTATATGCTTCTTCCCTACTTTTTTTTCTGCTACTGGCCTATTTTTGATGAAAAGTCACTGGTTGGCATTGCTTGAAATTACAAGGAGGGTTCCTGGACTCTCCTAGGAACAGAGATAACCATCACCAATATCATACTAAATGCACTAATGTTAAAACAAGTCCTGGAACAAATCACAAAACCTGTAATATTAAGAATGCAGGTTCAGGAATTAGTCGCAGGCAAATTTGAATATCATGTATGAGGTGGATTTCTGAAGGCAAGTCGCTTCAACCCCCTTCCTCTCAGTGATCTCATTTATAAAATAGGGTAACACCCATTTCACAGGTTGGATATGAGGAAGAGATGAAACACCTAGCACAGTTTGGAACACAGGTTCTCAATCATTATTTTTACAGTTGGTATTATTTTATGTTGGCTCATCTCCGCGCTCACATCATACAGCTAAATGACACACGGCCTAGAAGCAGCACTTACCCACAAAGAGCTGACTGTTCAGCTGCAAAAGGACATGGCCATCAGCGGGAGCGGGCTGGGTCTGTGGTGGGAGCTGATCCACTTGAATGGATGCCTCTTTCATGTTCCTTTCAACCCTAACGTGGTGCCACTGGTTGTCGTTGAAGTGAGTGGGGGACTGCACCGAGACTTCAGAGGGCCCGTTCCCCACATCGAATGAAAAAGTCACTACTGCCGGAGCTGGGAATGTCAGACACGAAGATTGGCCAAGTCAGAGAGCCCAGTCGTCAACATACTTAGGAATAGCACATAGCACAGTATAAAAACGGTAATTTGAATTTTATGGGAGAACCCAAGGACAGTGGCAAAGAATAGATGTCAAATGAGGCAGTAAAATACATTTTTAATTTGGGGAAGGAAAAACAAATTTTAAAAAATTCATCCTCAAAGTGAATTTTTTAGATTGACAAAAATTAGTTATTTATCCAGGGCAAGAAAACTAAGTAGCATTTTATAAAATAACTAGAGGCCCAATGCACGAAATTTGTGCAAGAGTAGGCCTTCCTTCCCCCGGCTGCCAGCACTGGCTTCCCTCTGGCACCCGGGACCCGGACTTCCCTCTGCAGGCAGGCACCCAGGACCCGGGCTTCCCTCACAGCCCTGGCTTCATCCGAAAGGTCGTCCAGTCTAATTAGCATATTATGCTTTTATTATTATAGATAATTTTACAGTGATTCAAAGTTTGTATAAATTTTAAAGCATGCAATATACATCTGATATCAAGATAATAATAACAGTCTAAGAGGATAGCAAAATAATATGAATGGGCAATTTAATTAATGTTTTTATTTACTAAGAATTTAGTGATTTTAAAAAAAAATTATTTCAATTTAAGATGCGTCTTAAACGGTTCTAGAGAATACAATGATTTCCCCTATCACAAGTTAAATACTAAATTATTTCTTACAGAAAGAGTAACTTAATTTCAAAGAACTTTTTCAAAGGGACACAAGGAAGAGATTCGGTAGATAAAGTAGAAACATGATTCTTCCAACATTAGCTGAAGGATTTGCTAGTAAACAGAATACCGCAGACTTCTCTGGAAAAGGAGACTTACAGCGTAGCTCTATCCGTATGAAGTCGGTAATCCCCAGGTTCTCTAAAAACACCCCGGAGGAAGCTGTGGTCTTAAAAAAGAAAGACACGTCTGCACTGAGCTCCCCGTGGAAAGTGGGGAAATGAAGGTATGAAGCCTCGGTGTTGAAGGAAGCTGAATTCCAAAATGACCCTGGTTTAAAAAAACAGGGAAAATATTAAAAAGTAAGAAAACAAATCAGGACATTAAATGAATGACACATTACATTTTTAGCATTTTTGCTATTAAAACATATAGTGTGGTGAAGGCCTGGGGGGATCAACGGAGGAAAATGGGACATCTGTAAGACTTTCAACAGTAAAAGGTAAATTTTTAAAAATATTGTTAATTCATACAAACCTGCTTTTCTTTTCTTTTTTTTTTTTCCTATTAACTATATAGTATACAAGTCGTGAGCATGATTAGACACTTTACCAGTACAAGGGTTGCAATTCTGACTCCTTCCAACACAGGAGAGGAGAAATGGTCTGCACGTTACATTTGCTATAAGAGACACATCCTCAGCCTAATTACCATCCTCTCCCAAAGTGATATAAGGACCTGTCAAACATTAATTAATAGACTTAATTTTTTTGCAACTTGAAACTTTAAACACCTCCATTACTCTGGATAACAGAGGCCCTGAAGAAGCTCAAAGTGTTTTTGTGCTAACACTTCCCGTACACACACTTCACAGAGCCACACTGCAGCGAGCGGCTTTCACTAATGGGCCCTGTGATTTCCTCAGCTGCGACTGGCATTCAAAATATCCTCGTTTAATTAAAGATCAAGACACTGCTCCCTCTGTGCTGCACTGATATTCTCATGAAAACGCTCTTTTACTTCAAAATTGTCTTTTACTTGGCTTCTCATAGTGAATTAGATGAATAGTACAAAAGGACTCTCAGAAAGTTTTAAAATGTTCAAAGTAAGAAGAAAATGTGTAAAAGGCTGGGGTATAAATGAGGAGATGTGAAAAAATTATCTGGACGATGGATGTCATCTTCTCTTTCCCATCTTTTTTTTTTTTTTTTTGCTGCTGTTATATCTACAACGTACTTTCCTTTTGAGCGAATATTCTGGGTCTGCCTGGAAAGTATGGAAAAAATATATCAATGCAGTGGCATGAAGTGACAGGAGTGACATCCAGCTGGATGTGTGTGGTGGATGAGACTCATTATCGAAGAAATGAACTATGCACTGCTGCCTACACCAGCAAATTCTCAACACACCAAATAGAAATGTACATTTTGAGTTTAAGCAACGGCCTCCCATATGTGCCCACAAACAACTGGATAAATTTCTATCTAGTCAGCCTCCTGGAAGAAAGACTACATCAGTCCCCACTTCTCCGCAGTTCAGTTACCTATGGTCAATCAAGGCCTGAAAATACTATGTGGGAAATTCCATAAATAAACAAGTTTTAAACTGGGTGCCATTCTGAGTATTGTGATAAAATCTTGCACCATCCCTCCTGCCCCACCCAAGACATGAACTATTCCTTTGTCCAGCTCTCCTCTCTGTGTATGCTGCTCATCTCTAGTCCCTTAGCTGTCACAGTTATCAGATCGGTTTCGAGAGAGAGAGAGAGAGAGAGAGAGACTACATTCCAATAATTTTTATTACAATGTATTAATTATCCATTATTAATTGTTGTGGTTAATCTCTTATTATGCCTACTTTGTAAGTTAAACTTTATCATAGGTATGTATATATAGGAAAAGACATAGTATATATAGGGTTTGGTACTAACTGTGGTTTCTGGCAACTACTGGGGGGTCTTTGAACATCTCCCCTGAAGATAAGGGGGGACTACTGTATTGATCCTCTGATGTTAGAAAACAGTAATTGCAGGGGGGAAATGGTTCATTATGTTTGCAAAGAATAGATACCTAACAAGTTAAAAATCACAAACTTGACTCAGCTTCTATTTGTTCCTTAGATTTTAACTTATTTTCTGTAAATTTTGGACTAAACAGCAGTGCTTATACCTATGGCCATGCATTCTTAACAAGAGGGATACATTCTCAGCAATGTATTGTTAAGTGGACTTGTCCTTGTGTGAATATCACATACAAATCTGGATGGTGTGGCCTACTACACGCGTAGGCTGTGTGGTATGCCCTTTCGCTCTTAAGCCTCAAACCTGCACAGCATATTATCGTACTGAGTACGTTCGGCAATTGTAACACACTGGTAAGCACTTGTGTATCTAAATATATCTAAATATAGAAAAACTACAGTAAAAATCGGCATAAACTATTTTTAAGGTGCACCTGCATGAGGACCTGCTGTAAGTGGAACTTTCAGGACGGGAAGCTGCTCCGGGTGAGGTGGCGAGTGAGTGGTGAGTGCGTGTGAAGGCCCGGGACATTTCTGTGCGCGGCTGGAGACTTTATAAACATGTCCCACAGCCCTCCCCCTGCCTCCACTGGACAGAGTCAGAACACTGGAGCTGCCAGTGCTGCTCCATGGAGAAGGACTTGGGCTGGACTGATTGGAAATGTCAAGGAGGAGGGACAGGCGGGGTGAGGCGCAGATCACCATGGCAGTGACGGAGAGGATGGACTGACAGGCGGCCTGAGGATCAGTAGGAATGAAAAATCAGGATGGAGAGACAAAGAACACGGGACTGTCATAGCAATGTGATTTTGGCCACTGCATGTTGGAGCAGTGGTCAGATTAAAGAACTTCGTGGTGCCAGAGGGAAGAGGGATGAGGGTAGTAGGGGGCAAAGGGGAACAAATATATGGTGATGGAAGAGGATTTGACTTTGGGTGGTGGGCACACAGGGAAATATACAAATGGTGTGTCATAGAATTGTATGAAAATTATATAATTTTATTAAGCAATGTTACCCCAATACATTTACTTAAAAAAAAAAAAAAGAATATCACTTAACAGGGAGAGAGTGTAAAACGGAGGACTCAATATTTTGACGGTGGAAATTTGTTCTGGGTTCCGTTGGCTCTATCTGGCATGAAGGGCGCTCTCTGGCACTGAATCGATGGAAAAATAAAATTTACCTATGCTTTGAACCCTGACAACCTGGACACATTTCCAAAGTACAGGGAGAGGCTGGCTCCGCACTCCCACAGAAAGCTTTCGCTCAAGTGGCACTTAGCACCCGTTAAGGCAGCTCCTGGGGGCCTGTGTCCTTGTGCAGGGTCTTGGGTCCTCAACAAAAACTTTCCTGCCAGGCCTTCTGAAGGCCATCACACGGGCCTGGCTGCAGAGTGCTCTGAATAGGTAGCGCTGGGCACAGGCTCCTCTGTGCTGAAATTTGTGCACCAATGCTGAGGTGCAGTGAGTGAGAGGGAATCTATTGTCAAGCCCTACAGATACTGCTCCGATCTGAGAAAAGAAAAAATTCCTCCTGAACCACACACTTCCTTCCATTTCTTACAAGAAATTCAGCTCCATTATAATCTTTTGGGACCACTACCTATATATGTGATCCTTCGTTGACTGAACTGTTGTTATGAGGCGCATGACTATATCTTATTTTTCTTATGAACCTGATTTGAAAAACAATTCTCACATCATAAGTAGACAATTTCAGAGCTGCATTTATTCAGCTGAGAATATACTTTGAGTGCTTTTCCCCCTATAGACACATGAAATTGTAAATTCCTTATTTTCATTTTACAGCTGAGTATTTCTAATCTTAGATATTTTGATCTCTAGGAAAGAAAGCAAGAAAATGCAAAATATCATGTTAAGGTTAACAACACATTTGTGTTCTTAAAAATTCTTACAGTGACCCATTATTAGAAATTAAATGTCTTTCTGTTGAAATGTTACATTATGAAAACTAACATAAAGCTGTAACTTTAAATAATGGAGTATTTTAAAATCTTACTTTTGGCCCGATTAGAAAGAAAAAACACTCAAAATTACTTAAAAGACTAAATTAGATAATACTGTCATAAGACAAAATATCTCATCTGTTTCATTTTTATGTCACAGCTAACCCAATAAAGCATCCTATATGGGGGCTTCGGGGAACTGGTGGAAACAGAAGAACAATTCTCTGAATTGCTACTATCTTTATAATGAACACTTTTATAGTAATGAAAACAATTTATTACCTTCGGTAGCTTAAACGCTCACACACATAATAGCACCTACTTTATCTAGTTAGCAAACCTTATTTTACAGACTCATAATAGGTTAAAAAAATAAAGAATATTTTATTGAAAGAAAAAACTGCTGCTAATTTACAATAATTATAGAGAAAGCAAAGGGCAATATTTCTATGATCAAATAATGTCCTGACATCTCAGCTCTTTACTGACCCTTAAGAAGCACCCAGGGGGACCCGGGCTGCCTCCGGGAAAGGAGGGGCAGGGCAGAGGTGGAGGTGCCCAGCGGGCAGGCCCAGCAGGAAGTTGCAGGTTTTTGAAGAGAGGATTCCTTGGCTAAGGTCGGTTTTTAGGAAATCCCTAAGCTGCACCAGTGGCAGATCTGAAAGCAATCCTTTACTCTGTGAAAGCTAGTCAGCAGCGTCCAAGGCCTTTGTACCATCCCAACAAAAGCAGATCAAGATGTATTGTTCTAAGAAATTTATAATGACTTAATTAAAGTAATTAATAATGAATATGTTTTAAATTGAATTCAATATAGGGTACTAGAGATTTGGAAACATTCCTTCATGAATGCCACCTTTTATCTTTCCAGAATTTAAAAAACAAAATTGTAATGGGTAACTGGATCTATATAATTACTTACTTAGAAGAGGAGATGTACATAAAGTAAAAAGAGCTCATTAGGAAAATTAGCATAGTAGACTTAAAATTACAACTAATATCTAAAATATTTGTTTTGCTAAACTTCTATTCATAGTATTAATAGATTATCCTTTTTAAAAGTAACTTAAAGAGACAGAAATTAGATTAGTGGTTTCCTAGCTGGGGATGGAACTCCTGGTGAAGGGGCTAAGAAGTGCGGGTCTTTTGGGGGTAATGTTCCAAATTCGTTTCTAACAGTTAGGTTGCCGTGACCACCAAAAGCCACTGAATAGTTCACTTCACATGGTTGAATTGTATGGTCTGTGAATTATATTGTTTGAAACAATAACAAGAAAGCTCCACAGTATTTGAAAAATACATTGTTTCTTAAGAAAATATGTTTTACTTTTAAAATAAAAAAAG